CGCCCCCCGCCGGCCCGGAACCGCCGCCGCCTGTGCCGCTGGGGCCGAGGTGGGGACCGCGCGCGCTGCGCCGTGGGGCCGGGACCGGGGATGGGACTGGAGAGCTGCGGCCACGCATACTGCTCGGACCCCGCGCCCCGAGAGCCACAGCGCACGGTTGGGATTCCGCGCGCCCCGCACCGGACCCAGACCCGACTGGGACTCGGAGGGGGGACCAGGACCGGGACCGCTGCCGCCTGCGCCGCCGCCCGCTCCGGCTTTGGCTCGGGCTCCCGCGCCGGCCCCCGCCCGGCTGCCGCTCGGGCTCCGCGCTCTGCCGCGGCGCTGGGAGGGAGCGCAGAGGAAGGGGGTTGGGGGGAGGGACCGGCGGAGGAGGAGGGACCGGCGGAGGAGGAGGGACGGAGAGGAGGAGGAGGTTGTGCGGCCACCCAGCCGAGGGGGCGCGGGCGACAGCGCTCCAACCCTGCCCCGCAAGAGGGGCGCGCCTGTCCTCGCCCGCGTCCTACACTGTCCTGCTCCCCGTGGCTCCCCAGCTCGGCCCGGAATTAGACCCGCGTTCTCTCCGAGTGCGCGCACTCTTCGGGGGAGCGAGCCGGGCCACATGCGTGTGCACGCGAGTGCGCGTATCCGCACGTGGTAACCGGGGTCGCCGCACACTGCCGCGTGGACGCACCTGCGCAAGTGAGCGGACAGCGCCCCCCACCCGGCCAGGGTTGTTTGGAGGACAGCAGGAAAGGGGTCAGACCCAGGGCTGCAGACCTGGTCTCCTACTCGGGAAATGAGCGCAAAGACCCCAGGACCTCCATCCGAGCGGCCCAAGCTCCGCGGTCCACCCCGCCCTAGCGCTAGCTCACTTAAGCCTTCACACGCGGCCCAGCCCGCTGGGGTCGCGTCCTGCAGGGGGCGCGGGTCTCGCCAAAGGCTGCGCCCCAAGCGCTGCTCCAAACAACCGGCAGAGGGCGCTCGGAGCCTCGGCTTGGGCTGCTATGCGCCGAGCCGGCTCCGGAAAGGTCCGGTGCAGGGAAACCTTCGTGTCCTGAGGCCACATCTAAAGATGCCCCAGGGAATGAGACCTCTCCCAGAGATACGCGTGACAACGAGATCTTAGGTGTCTGGGCCCTTTGGCAACGCGTCCACTGTACATCCCTTCACCTCCCGGAAGACAGGTGCACGGCATGGCAAGCTACCCGAACACAGCCATCAACACGGATTCCACAAGGCTCCTCTGTTAGCACATTTGCGTCCATAAGCACTGAGCTTCTGACACATGGAATCCACAGGGTGGGGCTCCCGCAGGCAGGGAGGGAAGCTGAGGCAGGAGCCTGGCCAAGGCCATCCATTTACCCAGCAGGGTCGGACTCTCCTCTGAGTCCCCTCTGGAGCCAGGCTAGCATTCCTTGCAGGATGCCTGGCCACACGGAGAGGCAGCTCCCCAGCTCCACCCAAGCCCCATCACCCCAGAGTCGCACAGACCTGTTCCAAGGAAATTGATCCTGGGTCCCTTTCAGTCTCACTGCCTCACCCCTGCTCTGGACGTCCTGACTGAAGAAGGCTCCAGCCTTCTGTGTCATAGTCATGCTCATTCCAGGCCCTGTTAGGGCCCCTTCCCACCAGGTGCCATCCCCCAGCAGTCTTGAGCAGAGCTGCAACTGTTCCTGTGTGACCGAGAGCAGGAGGCAGGCTCAGAGAGGTTACTCGACTTGCCCATGGTCACACAGCTGGAGAGGCATGGGCAGAGGATTTGAGTCACCTTCCAGGCTGAGTAAGCCTGGAGGGGGCCGGCTTGGCAGAGGAACTTGCAGGTGGGAGGGACCCAGGAGTCCCCTCCTCCCCAGAGCCCAGTGCAGGCGGGTGGGCCCTCACCTAGCGGCTGCATGGACTCCCTTTCCCATCTCTCAGCCCCCTCCCGGCTGTTTGTGAGTGCCCGCCTCCCGCCACCTCCCACAGCTACAGGAATAGATGCTCAGGCTCCGCACCACGGCTCCCCAGACCCGGCGGGGGCGGGGCTATTCCTGGAGTGGGGCTGACGCAGACAGGCGAGGTGCAGCCCCCCAGATCCCGCCCGCCCGCGGCTCACCTGCTGCCTGCCTCAGGAATTTCTGGAGAAAGGGGGGCAGCCCATCTCCCTAGCCTGCCCTGGATACTGGCTGCAGAGGCTGGTGTCCAGGGTGGGGTCCTCCAGGTCCACAGTTGTCCCTGTACAACCAGGAGGACTTCTGCTTCCCTGTGTCCCTGAAGGAAATGACCCCACCCCCACATCCTTGTCACCTGCTGTGGAAGTCATAGGCCAGGCAAGGCTTTGGTGGGGTGGCAGCATGGAAGAGGGACTTCTGTAAGTTCAGCCTGGGCCGGTTCTCTGACTTTGTGTCTAACCCTGACTTGAGATCCAACCAAGACTTAGCCTTTCCACTCTGCATCTCCCAGATGAGATGGCCCATACTGTCCCCCTTCCCTTTCTTCCCAGTCTACAGGTGGGCACCCAGAGGTTCTGGCTCTTGGAAGAGAATTCAGCAGTCCCAATACAGGCCAGATGGGGGGCTGCCAAGACTCTGGGGAGGGGACAGGGCCATCTGGCACTTATCCAGCCCTCTGCAAGCCAGGCAGTGAGCTAGACTTTACACCTCATCTCAGCAAGCCCACTATACAGCTGAGGGCACTGGCACTGCTGGCACTCGGGAGAGCGCTGCTTCCCCGAGCCCTGCCCTCTCGTGCTTGGGAGGCTGACATGCAAGAGGTGGACCCTGGCATAGACGGGGGCCCTCGGACACAGAGGATGCCACACACCGCACACCTGGAATGGGCTGCTCCTGCGGCCTGCATCCCAGCACCTTGCAGGGTTTTATGATGAAGATTATTTCTGAAGGCATTTGAAATTAATGCCGGCTCTAAAATGACTGGGACAGTGGAGTCATTGCGGAGACCTCTAATTAGCAAGAAAAACGGACTTGGCAGGCAGTGGGGGCTGGGCTAGCAGGCAGGTATTACTGTCAGGTAAACACCATGTTTCCCTTTATGCCACAACTTAGCTGATCACCCACTGCATGCCCTTAAAGGGCTACAGCCCTTCTCTCGGCCTCAGTTTCCCTGACTACACACTGGGGGAATGGGGATTCCCTAGTGCCACTGAGACAATGGGAACCATGGCTCCTTGGAGGGTCAGGCACCCCCAAAAGGCTGAGCACCAGAAGCCAGGCTATGTAGCCTCTGGGCCACAGCAGAGGCCCAGTCTTCTGGCTCTTGAAGGCTCCATGCGGGGCTTGGTGTAATGAAGTCCCAGAGCCTGAGGCTGGTGTGAAAGAGTGGAGAAGTGGCAGGAAATCCATAGGTCAGGGCCCTGAACTGGTGCTACTGCAGAGGTGGACAGGGATGGGGCAACTGGGGGTGCCAACAGCTAAGCCCCTTCCTGGGGGCAGCCCTGGAACTTCAGCCAGCTCAGGTTCTTGCTGCATCCTCCCGACCCCTCCCCAGGAGCCTGAAGGTGGCTCATAGCAGGTCTTGTGTGCCTGCTTAACACTTTCTGCATGGGTGGCTGGCACAGGGAGGAACAGAAGGAGGGGAGCGCCCCACTGTGGTTGGCAGGGAGGAACATCTGTGGTAGGTACAAGCTGAGAAAGTGAGGGCAGGGGTAGCGAGCCCCCTTTCTGAGTCAGGCGTCCTCTTCCCAGGCAACTATTTACTGTTGGCTTCTTTATCAGAACTGGTCCCTCAGACCCTTGAACCCTCTCTCCCCCTCCTCAGCCAATTTGGGGACCTCAGTGGCCCCTCCCTTCCCAATCCCACTCCTTTTCCTCTCCTAGCTTGGCCTCCACTCCTTGATTCCTCCTCTTTAAGATGAGAACCCAGCAGGGCCCACCACAGGGCGTCATGAACCCTCCATGACTCAATAGCCCTGCGAGAGCCCTGCATGGAAGCCGGCCCGAGCTCTGCGTGTCCCTGATGAGCATGGGTATCACTAGGCATCCTGTGCACTGTGACAGGTGCACTGTGCCCCTGGCCCTTCTGCTGTCATTGGGTCTTTCTTAAGGTCCCTCTGAGCACCCCACGCTGAGGAGCAGGACCAAGTTCTCCACCCTTTGAGAATCAGGAACACCTGGAGGGTGTGGATCACTCTTGTGGCTCTTCTCCAGTGAGCCCAGAGCCCTGAGGATGGCAGGGGGTCCCACATGAATAAACTAGAATCCCTTCATCAGCAGGGACAAGTGTATTCTCTAGAGAAGGGACTAGGATGGGAAAAGGGACACTCCTGAATCCTCACCATCATTTCTGCTCCCCTCAGTGCACGGACCACTCACACCTCTCCTGGAAAGGATCTATATGAGTAACACGTCAGTGTCCATAAGCAGTGTTGGTAGCCTTCTCCTGTGGGTGTGAACAGGCCCTTGGAGGACTCCAGGCTGAAGCCCTGCAGCCATGGCAGATCAGGGGGCTGCCTGTCCTGGGCTTTTTCACAGCTCCACTGAACAGGGCTGCTTAGTTACCAAGGAGTAAGCATTCTCTCTGCAGCCACGCATGAGCAGGGTGTGTCTGCCTGCAACTCTAAAGGCCCTCCAGGAAAACTCTACTGCTCTAACCCTGAGTTACACAGGATGCAGTCAGTGGCCTTAAGAAGCCAGGGAAGCATACAGTCCATTAAAGAAAAAAATTAAATTGGGAGCAGGATAAAATGCAAATAGAAAGAGCAATCTGTATAAAGAGACCCTCCTTGGCTCCCTGGGACCCAAGGCTACGTGCTTGGCAAAGCGGCTACTCCTGAGAGGCCAGCTCACTGTCCCCAAGGCATGTGTCAGGGGGAGCTGGAGCTAATGTGTGCCAACAGGCAGCACTATTAGCAGATCTGTT